GCTTACCAGTGAGAGGGTTCACCACTGATGAGCTAAGCCCTTATATGTAATTTTTATATCATAGCAGAAAGGCTTTCAAAAGTAATTTTTATGACTTATTCGAAAATAAGTATTAATATTAAAAATAATTTGTCGACGGCTTTGTTGGCGTATCATCAATAGGGACATCATCATCTTGAATAGAAGTTTGGCTTTGACACGACGGTAGAATTCTGGAGCCAGTTTCGGAAATATATAGATCATAGCACTTATGGCCTCAAGGTCTTCTTGGCGATCTTCAGTTTGTCTTCCCTAATCTACTCAGCATCTGCAGCAAAATGTAACGTGAAAAATAAGGAAAGACAAACTTCAATTTATTCAAAGCAAGAGCAAATTAAAAAGATATACAGTTAAACCTGTCTATAGCGCCCCTTCTTGGGACTCACCAAAATAGGGTGCTATAGAGAGGGGGTACTATAGACAGGTCACTTTTAATGTAAATAGCATCGTACTACTATCTCCTTCACAACGGAAATAAGTTCCCATCAGTGCCAATGGCCCATGCATCCAACATGAAAGAGACTTACGAAAACATGAAACTGCTTTTGTAAAAGATAGAATATGAAAGATACGGTTGGAAAATATGCAGCGATTTGAAAGCCATTGCTCTCTTGCGTGAATTACAGCTTGGATATACAAATTACTATGTGTTTAAAATCGATGCTATAGAGAGGGAGGCGCTATTTAGAGGGGGCGCTATAGACAGGTTTAACTGTATATAAAATACATTAGAATCAATGAGAAAAGTTTACAGGGAGAGAGTATCAGTATATAAATATCATAATTTCGATAATCTGCTAACAACATAATAAATACTTAGCTACAATATAATACAAACATACTACAGTACAAAACAATATCGATAATTTACATAATAGGATTCCATAAAATGGTGTAAGAAGTGAACCCAGCAAAGCTTACTTAACCGTTTTCAACAAATATCTATAAAAATTGAGAACAACACACATACCCTAGTAAAAAAAACATGACGAAGACAGAATTTTATATATCGATTTTATTCTATATTTAAGGGACCTCAAATATATCTATATATAATTATCTGTGTATTTTTATTGTATTTGACCACCGTCGATTACCCATTCTACGAACGAATCAAGAATATTTCATCCATTTCTAATACAATTTACCTTAAAAATAAATTTTGATATCAAAATCATCATCACTATAATGGGTATCCCTATTTTGTTTTAGCTAAGATTCGAACATATTTGTGGTGACCACACTTTGCTCCAGCGAGCGCGAACTGGGACAAAGTTCCAATACACATACTTCAGGCAATAAAGTGGCGACCCCACTATGCTTCAGCAAGCGCAAGCTGGGAGAACACGTCACTACGCATGCGCGCGGGGTGTCATCCGGAACTTTCTAGCGACTGGCGCGGTAAACAAAAAGGCTTGCTCCCAACGGCCGTTACTTCAACCGTTACTTCTTTTCTCTTTATATATTTCTGGCTTTAAATAAATTAATTTTAATTTTATCAGCGGCCTTTCCACAAGCCACACCAACACATCACGCAACCACCATCCCACATATTCAAACTTTCCTCCATTTGCTACACTAGAGTCAAACCCGATCTGAACAGGACAATTGACACACTGAGTCAATGGTTAAAAAGGTAAAAGGGAAAATAAAGTGAAGATATATACAAGTACAATAGGGTGATGATATATAATGAAAATTACGATTTTTCGTTCTGTAAAAAGAAACATTTGCGGTAACACTTGTTAAACGTCGTTCTATAATCATAACCGCATTATATTGTATTATAAATTAACTTTATATAATAATTACGAACGATAAATATGTCCAGGGTAGCCTAGTGGACATGGCATCTGCCTGGTAAACGGAACACTGTGGGATCCCATCCCTGGACATCTTTATTTTTCCGTTCATCATTACTCTTCACAATTCATCTTTTCATACTTCATCATAAGGATAGGAATAGTCGTTATATTTTTCCTTAAAATAATTAAAATCACGATTTTTCGTTCTGTTAGAAGAAACATTTGAGGTAAAACTTATTAAACGTGGTTTTATAGAGGTCTACAGTTTGTTCCCACCGAGAGGACACCTAAGAGAGATTCCTTCTCCAGACAGACAGAGATTGAAAACCTTTTATGGACTTCACAAATCAATGGTAGGAGAGAAAAAAACTATTCTAAGTTACCGGCTTGTCACTTTGATTAAGATTTTAAAAATAAAATAATAAAGAAAGTTTAAAAATATATGCGATAATGTTCCATCGAGGAAGCTCTCCCAACGATGAAGAGTCCAGGCTTTCAGATCACGTCATGAAGAACCTGTGGATTCTTGACTTGGCTGAAGATGTTATGGCGATTTCGTTAAGGCCAGACCTCTGCAGGTCCTGACACCGCTGTAGATGGTTAAAGACTTCCCGGATAATATCCAGAAGGTCTACTCGAACATCTCTCAGTTCTACAGTGAGGAAATAGCTATAGCCTTGGTAGACTTCTGGGTGACCATCTCAATAGGCTCTCTGAACGCTCATTAACAAAACTTAAGGAAGAGGAAAGTCTCTTTGATGTCGCCGATAGTCTGTTTCTTTAACGGAAGACAGAGGCAATTTTGTTCACATCTGGTTATCTCGTGTGTCTTCAATAAAGTTCACTGTGTGTCAAATAGCTAGAGTTATTGTCTGAATCCTGATATACATGCTAACAGGTACAACTTTCTTAAGTTTTGTCCACGAGTGTATCTTTCAGAGTTATTGTCTGAATCCTTATATACATGCTAAAAGATACAACTTCCTTAAGTTTTGTCCATGAGTGTATCTTTCAGAGTTATTGTCTGAATCCCAATATACATGCTAAAAGGTACAACTTCCTTAAGTTTTATCCACGAATGTTTCTTTCAGAGTTATTGTCTGAATCCCTACATACATGCTAAAAGATACAACTTCCTTAAGTTTTGTCCATGAGTGTATCTTTCAGAGTTATTGTCTGAATCCCTACATACATGCTAAAAGATACAACTTCCTTAAGTTTTGTCCATGAGTGTATCTTTCAGAGTTATTGTCTGAATCCCGATATACATGCTAAAAGGTACAACTTCCTTAAGTTTTGTCCAAGAATGTATCTTTCAGAGTTATTGTCTGAATCCAGATATACATGCTAAAAGATACAACTTCCTTAAGTTTTGTCCATGAGTGTATCTTCAGAGTTATTGTCTGAATCCCTACATACATGCTAAAAGGTACAACTTTCTTAAGTTTTGTCCACGAGTGTATCTTTCAGAGTTATTGTCTGTATCCTGATATACATGCTAAAAGATACAACTTCCTTAAGTTTTGTCCATGAGTGTATCTTTCAGAGTTATTGTCTGAATCCCTACATACATGCTAAAAGATACAACTTCCTTAAGTTTTGTCCATGAGTGTATCTTTCAGAGTTATTGTCTGAATCCCGATACACATGCTAAAAGGTACAACTTTCTTAAGTTTTGTCCATGAGTGTATCTTTCATAGTTATTGTCTGAATCCCTATATACATGCTAAAAGATACAACTTCCTTAAGTTTTGTCCATGAATGTAGATCGTTACCTAGAGTTTAGTATATTCGGAGAGAGATAGGTTGGCTAAATCCTCTACAATAGAAACCTATGTGTCCAGTATTTATCCATTACCTTCAATAGTTGACCCAGGGGCGTTCATTAATCCCCACTTCAGTGTTTCGGTCTTTTATCCAAACAACCTAGCAATAACAGAGTTCATTCTGATAATAATAACAATTATTTTTATTATTTACATATAATATATATATATATGTGTATATAGTATCGTTATGAGAATTTCAAGATTTATAAAATTGTTATTTAGTTTAAACATGTGAGGTTTGTTTTTTTTTTATTTTTTTGTAATAAATATTTAGTTAGAATATAGTAGTATATAAAAAAGTAACACCAGCATAGCTTCGGTGGTTAAACGTCATGGGCTGGGTAAAAAAAGGAATAAGCGAAGAAAATGTTTTATAGAAAAGATCAAAGACAGAACCATGATAATAATTTTCCAAATATAAAATTAAGCTAAAAATTAATTCAAAATCTGTAGTTCTTAATATTTTACTTTTCCTCTTTTTTCCAAAAATAAAAAATTACTATTAATATATATATATGCTCAATATCTCTGTAAAAATAAAAGAAATATTACCTTTTTTTCTACTATTGTGTTATTTTTGTTAATTTAAACAGCCTTTACAACATTTAGGCACATATCTGTGTATATAAATAACCAATAATACTGCTCATTTTCTGCAGTTCGTTATTTCCCGCCGCATATGTAATGGAGAAATTCAAGGACAATCTAAACCGAAGTGTTTTCTGAAATATTCCTTTAGAGAAATAGTTTTAAAATGGATTTTGACTCGGGTCAGGTAGTTGCATAAAGAAAAAAAAAAGCATCTTCTGAATGTGTAACTGAAAATGGCTTGCGCCATCTGTCGGAATAAATATCAACTAATTGTTGATTTTTTAAAATAATATTCTACAATAAATGTTTCTTGATAAAATTATTGCTTTTCAAATTACTGAAAGATTATTAAAGAAAATATGCATTTATATTACATATTGTGTATGAGTTAGTAATATGTAGTCGCGTAAAGCATTTTTGATTATTTGCATATATTAAAACGTTTTGGCGGGTTTTATGCAAATCATTATAAGAAGATTAGTATACCACATATATATTTAACTACATTTTAGTCTATCGAGTTATTTTTTTTTAAATCAATAAAATTCTTTTGGTTCTAAACTTTTCCATATCGATGTAGTGATATTGTTTAAAATGGCCCTTCCGGGATATTTCGACGATATAATACTCTTGTGATTTGCATATTGTTGTAATGTTGTCTGTGTTAATTTGCATCTCTGCTTTTATATCGCAGCTTTGTTAGATTGTTGTCAGCTAGATGTTATTGGATAGGGCAGACCGCTGATAAACGAGAGCTGCTGGTGTATTGTTGGGAGCTAAGACTTTCCTATTCTATCATCGAGC